GATCTACATATTCTAAAACTGCAACGCACCAAATTTGGGGTGAAACCGTCGTGGTTTGACCATTCATCCACTCGTATCAATTTTAACGGTTTCGAATGAATAGAACTTTTTACATGGCTCGACGGAGGGTCATTCATCCACTCGTATCAATTTTAACGGTTTCGAATGAATAGAACTTTTTACATGGCTCGACGGAGGGTCAAACCACGACGGTTTCACCCTAAATTTGGTGTATTAGGGTTTTAGAATATGTAGATCAAGTTCAACGGAGCGGATCATCCATAATGTAGCTAAATCAAGTGATCATCAATGACTAAGAAACTTAGTAGATGTCCACTTAAGTTGACATAAGTTTCTCTCTCTCTCTCTCTCTATATATATATATATATATATATAAGAAAAATTGGTATGCTTGGTACCAAGCACAAATTTTCTCTCTATATATATATATATATATATATAAGAAAAATTGGTATGCTTGGTACCAAGCACAAATTTTGTGCTTAGTAGTGAGGTGTCCTATTCCTATCCACTCATTCCAATTCCCAGCCACTCTCCAACATATGTGAATGTGAGCCCCGATTTTCATGAGTGGAGAGGAATATGTCACCTCACTACCAAGCACAAAAACGTGCGCTTGGTACCAAGCATACCTATTTTTCTTTATACACACACACAAACATTCATGAATGAGTAGTGTGTGGAAAGAAATTGAATCGGAACCAAGAATCATAGTTATCTATTAGTGTTATGGTGTTCACTTACCCAAGATATAGTATTTGCGAAATGATACGATAAAGTTCTAAGTCAAAGCAAGCTCAACCCTTTGGCCGACTCTCACAGTCATCTATCAGCCTTAGGGGAAAGAGAGCCCTAGTCAATTCTCAAGAGTTCTAGGCACGACGACTTCTCAGTGGAATATCAAGCACTTGGCTCTTTATCAAGGTAAGCCTAATGCACAATTGCAGAGGCCTCGGCCCTACCAACTCATTAAGCCGACACCCTGGTGTCGACACAAGAGGCGAAGAGGCCTCGGCCCTACCAACTCATTAAGCCGACACCCTGGTGTCGACACAAGAGGCGATACTAG